TGTAGAAGTGTTCATTGTATCTGGTCTGTCTTCGTATTGTAGAGCCTATAGCCCTTTGTAGTTTCAGAAAATCCAACTGAAATTAGCTTTTCAGATTTTTTGTCCCATTTCTGGTTTAATGTTGAAAACATTTCATATGGTGTTGGAATATTAGACACTGCAGACCTGTTTCTTAGGTAACAAGCTGTGTTTATGGCTTGAGCCCATAAGCTTTTTTCTAAACCTGCCTCATGAAGTAAACACCTAGCATTCTCTACCAAAGATATATTTAACCGAACGCCTATTTTCATCATTGTTAGAGGTCTGATGCATTATACCCTGATTTCTCAGATAACTCACAAACTCTGCACTAATGTACTCGCCCTAATTATCTGATCGCAGAACTTTGATGGTTCTTCCAACCTGTTTCTCAACCAAACCTTGGAGTTCTTTGAATCCCTCAAAAGTATCAGCTTTTGAGTTAATAAAATGTATAAACGACATTCGACTGCAGTTGTCTTGAAATTCTACATTCCAGTGGCCCTGCTAGATCGTTGAGACTGTCCAAAATCTTGACGTGTTTTCTCCCCTTCACAGCAGACTTCGCAATTATGTACGTTGATTTTTACCTGTCCATCATAGTTGTTGCTATCCACAAGACCATCTCGCATTTTATTAAAATAACTGGAGTATATGACCTAGCCTCCTATGTCATGTTTCGTCAGTAGCAGCAGTCTGTCTAGCTAATAAGCACCTTTTGGAAGTATCTATCTTATACACACAATCACTGAAGATTTTGATAGTGAATCGAAAAGTTAAGATAGGGACATGTAAGCCGTTTTGATCAATAATGAATACTTTCGACACAAAAAAATCCTGAAATTGAAAAATCTCGATTTTGATCACCCTATATCTATGTAATCATTCCTGCTAGACCCCAACTACGATACATTGATGAAATCAGCTTTTCAGGGAGAATCTAAAAATGCAATAAAATACAGGGTGCTCTATTTAAAATAACGAAGTTGCTAGTTGTTTCTGATAGAAGTGGCAACATTGTATCGATGAAAATATTTCAGACGGATAGAGAATGTTCAATCAACAAAGCATCCCAACTTTCAGAATGTTCTGTCTTTTCGTTCTCCAGATACTTCTAATAGGCCATCCACCGTGGATCAGCCTGTATTTATAGGTATCAAGTCATTAAAGAACAATACCACCTCTGCCCTTTTTGGACTATCCCGTACAATCACAAGTACACGAAGGGACTTGATACGGTTTTCAAAGACTCAGGTTTTGAAAGCGTTCATCAGTATGGGTCAAAATTAGGCAATTTGTTAGGTTACCCAAAAGATAAGGGGGGCACACTTGAAAATAAACGAAATCAGTTGTAATCTTTGTGATGAAACATATACAGGGTTTTCCTTAAAGACATGCTAATATTTGAAGGAGCGATTGTTTGACTCAAGAAAACAACTTCCTATGAAAGGATAACCTAAAAGTCTTAACTTTTGAGATACAGGGTGATAGAGTTGAACAAAAAACAGTTTTTTAATAATGACTGAGATGATATTGTAGACATCTTCATGCTATTTGGTACATGTCTTCTATGCATCAAGGTGCATTTTCAGTTGTAGAAAAAATTTCATTTTCTCTACCAGTAGCGCCGTTTGGGAGATATTGTCTATATTTAACCTAAAAGTTATCAACACATTTCATTCAATTCTATGAAAGGCCATTTAATTCTGTACATAAAAGATCATCTTGTTAATACTGGATAGGACGCTCCGTTTTCCAGAAAAAAACAAATAACCGAGACCAGACTTCAAATTTTGATATGAATGCTAAGCTGAGTACCAAATGAGAACCAAAATATGTAACATTCTGAAATTCTTGCACTGTTTCAGTCACATAGCAGACTGAATTTTTCCATTACGAAAAGCTATACAGGGTGGACAAAAAAGAATATATGCACATTTTCAACTTTGATGTCCTGAATCTCAAATGTTAGGACGTTTTTGTGATATACTCTCATATAGAGTTTTATTCTTGAAATGGGTCCAAGAATCGCCCCCTTGAAAATTAGCATTTCATTAAGGAACACCCTGTATAGACCAAACCAGGCGACCCATAACAACAAGGTTCAAAGAACACCTAGCACATTTGAAATATGGTGGGTTAGATAAATCGTGTGTTACCGGCACATGTTCAATCACAGTCATAACATACATAGTAATAACCTCAAATTAGGTCAACAAGTTGATAATGTTAGAAAATTAGATGCATATGAAAGCCTAGAGATATTTAAGAATAGTAATAGAACGATGAATAAAGATATTAGAGAGCTATTCTATATAGCCCCCTGTGTAGTTTGGTGATAAAAGATTAAGGTGAAAATGTAAACTCAACCATGGCAAACATTAACTTGGTGGTTAGTGTATTTCACGGTTGTGTAGACATATACCTAGTATATAACTAGCACAATAGAATAGCGTATTTAGTTTTAATCTTCTCCTGAAGATGCTAACATGGTTCGCGAAACACGTGCCGAGGCGTATTAAAAAGTCGTGTGATATTCATACCTGATGAATAATATCTCGACTATTAAAATATAATCGCTCCTGATAATTTCATTTGTAATTGCAATGTTCCTCAATTCCCAACTATGTTTTTCTATCCACAGTTGTGCTCCGGAACTAACACCTGTTCTCTGCAAGTTGTTCAACTACTCTTACAAATTGGGGATATTTCCGTCCAACTGGAAAATTGCAAGAGTACAACCAGTTCCTAAAAATGGCAAAAATACCCTACCTAACAACTACAGACCGATCGCACTGCTACCTATTATTTCAAAGATCATGGGGAAAGCTATCAACATCGAGCTCATGAAATACCTGGAACATTCATGTATTATCAACGATAGGCAATATGGCTTCCGTCATCAGAGATCAAGTGGTGACCTGCTCGCTTTTGTCCCACATATATGGCAGCAATCTATTGAAAAATATGGTGAAACCTTAGCTGTGGCACTTGATATCTCCAAAGCATTCGAACGAGTCTAGCACCACGGACTCCTCCAAGTTTCCATCTTATGGCTTGCCTCCCCAGCTATGTTCTCTGCTAGCTAGTTTTCTCTCAAATAGGTCTTTCCATCTTGTGGTCGACGGAGTTTCATCTGACTCTCATACCAAAAATGCTGGTGTTCCGCAAGGATCAATTCTAGCACCAACACTATTTCTACTCCATATCAACGATTTGTTGGAAGCAACTTCATGTCCAGTGCACATCTTCGCGGATGATAGTACCCTCCATACCGCCTTCTCTTCCAGGGCTCCAATACCAGCCAGGCAAATCAGAAACGAACGAGGGAGAGATGAGACAACAAATATGGACTTGGCAACAATTCTCGAATGGGGATCCAATAACTTGGTACATTTCATTGCAAACAAAACACAAGCATGCCTTTCCTCTAGAAAAGCCGATCCCACTCTGCCAAACATAAACATGTCAGGACTAACCATACCTTTGAAGACATCCATTTCGATGCTTGGTATTACTATCAGCAATAACCTTTCTTGGGAAAATCACGTGAGATCAGTTGCGAAAAGTGCATCCCAAAAACTTGGTTTTCTGTTTCGGGCCAGAAGCTATTTCACTTCCAGTCAGCTGCTTAATATCTATAAGGCACAGATCCGACCTGTCCTGGAATACTGCTCCCATATTTGTAGTGCAGCACCCAAACATACCCTGAAACTGTTGGATTCTGTCCGAAAAAGGGCAATTCGTTTCGTGGGTGATGCGTCGCTCATAAACTCACTCACTTCTCTGGAACACCGTAGAAAAGTTGGCGATCTGACTCTATTTTATATCGACGAAAAATTATTATGGACTAAACATCTAGACTATTTGAGAAATAAAATAAATCCGATCATAGGCATTTTATTCAAAATCCGAAATATTATTCCCATAAAATACTTGAAATGTATTCACTTTTGCCTCATTTATTCAAATTTGCAATATTTAATTTCTATTTGGGGGAGTACAAATATTTCGCGTCTGAAACCACTAATGAAATTACCAAACAAATCAATTAAGTGCATTTTTCATCTACATTTTCTAGAACCAACGATAAATTTATACAAACCAAGACATTTTCTGGACCTGATTTCCTTATATAAACTTAAAATATGTTGCTTTATTCATTTTGCCAGGAATAAATTGAAAATATCAAATTTAGCTTTCAATGAAGTCAATACAGTCCATAATTATGGGACTAGACAATTGAATTACTTAATAGCAAATACATTCAAGTCAAACTTTGGCAAACAATCTGTTTTTCATAATGGAATAATTTTATACAATTCATTACCGAATGAGTTGAGAAATATACATGATGCGAGAAGGTTTAAAATCAATCTTAAAAAATACTTGCTCAGGACAATTTTGAATGAAAAATATGTGGCATGATTTGATTACTAAGGAATGAAATATAACTTTAATCTTATAAGACACTATATTAATTCGTTTCCACTGAGTGGAATTCATTATAGTTAACCCTTTATTATTATTTTTTTATATGTATTTATGTATCCCTATCATAAACAGAAATGTTTCTTTGGGTAATAAAGACAATCAATCAATCGATATTTTCATGGACGATGCTCTTCTGAAATATCAACAATTGTACCTCCCATGGCAGTCCCGCGAGATTAACCCGTTGAGTTGAGGCTTCGCACCCCTTCGTGGTCACTTTGGAGACCTGCAGAACATCTCTTTCCAAAGACTCGTTCCCCGAGGCATATAACCTCCAGAAATTCAAGAATCCCTACCATATTTTTCTTGGTTCTCACGACGTTCTCTGAACATTACAGGATACTCCTCTTCGTGGGAACCAGAACATAAAAAAAAATCCAATACTTATAGGTATTCGTTGTATCAACTATTAGATATAGATTAAAAATTTGAAGATGACTAGTTTGAATGAACGTTAACAGAAAATTAGAATTTTGTTCTCATTACAGGAAACGACGCCAAATCCAAGAAAGACACGGAAAATCCGCACAAACACAAAGACGCGTCACACGACTACCATGTCGAAACGAAACGTGCGAAAAAAGACGACAACATTGGACGTTCTCGACGATCCTCCTCGCGCACAAGACAAAAAGACGTCGACAATTCCGATGAGATCCAAATCATAGAACCGAAATTGAACTCCCCCATAGTCATCAGCGAAGATTCCAGGTCGCAAGACAGCAGCGTGATCATCCTGGACGATTACAAGGAGGATTCCGCTTCTGACCTATCCCTGCTGGGCATCAATCCTGACAGTTTGAAAGGGACACCGGTGAGATCGGATTCTGGTCTATCTGTTCATTCGGCATCTTCCACTACGCCTAGTCCGAGGAAAAGAGGAAGGCCAAGAAAGGTAATGGACATGTTTAAGAAGTAAAAAATATTAAAAGCATAATTTAATAGTAGTATTTACACGATCTAGTTACTAGTGTTTAGAAAGTGCCTGATACCCTTGACCATTTACACTAACTAGATGAACCATCCTTATGAGAGCAATGTAGTCAGAAATTCTATTCAGTGGGGGGCGGTATCTATGAGCGACAAGGTGACCTACTTTTTGTTGAGTAGCGAAGGGTAGAAATCTATTGTATAATCTATAATTATATCCATGAACATAAATGCGTGTAGCCAAGATGCATATGGGAGAGTACCTGAGAAACAATATCAAATGAGAGAAATATATCAATGATAAACAGTAAAAATCAAAGTGAGAATATTGAACAAGTCTTACATAATGATTAGAAGTAAATTTATAAATATGTACATATATTCACTGCAGTATAAAACATTGGGTTATGGTTTTTCAATTAAGTGATGCAGTTTACCATTTAAAAGATCCTTCTTGAGAAGGTTTCTGAATGACGGTACAGACAATTGTTTGTAATGTCGAGGATTCCTGTTGTAAAGCCAAGTAAGTAATGAGAAAAAGATCCACGAAAGAGTGCTGTGCGATGTTTAGATTCTTGCTGAACTGTTTGACAGGCAAGTGGTTGCCATTAAGATGAATTGCATTCGTAGGATTGACTCGATTTCTAGCACTTTTTCTGCCAAGTAACAAGATAACTGACAATATTTGTGAGAAGTAATCGAAAGTGATTCCAGATCCTCATTCATTTGGACATAAGCTTCATCTACATTATTTCCATTGAAGGAAAGATACAGCTGAGTGTCATCTGCATAGAAATGTGATGTTGAGTTTCTAAAATTTTTGTGAAGTTGAGAAGTTGATAAGCATAAATTATAAAGAAAAGTGGTCCTGGGATTGAACCCTGAGGCACACCATTCGTGACCATGAGATAGTCAGATCTATTTTCCTTCATAACAGATTGTTGCCTGTTCCACAGATAATTCTCAATCAGGCTTAGAGCATTACGAGAGAATCCAATATATCGAGAGATAGCCGTGAGCAGTGAATGACTTATCCTGTCGAATGCTTCAGAATAGTCCAATAAAGTTGAAATTGTGATATCGTTGTTGTCGATTGCAGAATGAATATCATCAGTTACTGCCAAAAGTACAGTTGTACAACTGTGATTTGGACGGAAGCCGGACTGACACAGCGGTAGGCAATTTGCATCATTTAAGTGCTTCCTTATCTGTAGATTCAATATTCTTTCTAAAACCTTAGACATGGCGCACAGAATGCTTATAGGACGAAGATCTGAGATTTCTTGCGGTTCCTGCTTATAACTTAGATGTCAGAATATCAAAGTTAGTGGTTCTCCTGCTTCAGAAAGAAGGATATTCCTAGATATTTCAGCAACTTGCAGATATATGGACTCGATCAGATTCCGAGAGTATATACAAATCGGCTATATTTTGCAGAGTTGCCCTAGCGCCGCCTACGACCCAGCCAAGAACAAGCCAAATTTGGCTCAACATTTTACATAGAGGTAGATCCTCTTGTTAGTGTATGTAATCAAGGCTGGTACTTAACCTTTTCGCGACAAAATACTTAAATTTTTACTCAGCTGAAGAATTGGGTTATTGACGGAATACGGATGCGGCTTCTTTTCACCTTATGCGTGGTTGAGATGAGTTCTGATACGACAGTATATTTATTACCTATCATTCAGGTTTTGTCAGCAATTTATCACAATCGTTTGGAGTACAATGAGCAAAGCGAGAAGTCCTCTAACAAGTGCGACAACATGTCTTATTGAGTGAGTCTAATATAATTTTCTATTTGAATCAATTTACACATTTTTAGTAGAAAAATTGTTCTTTGAAAACTATTTGATATATCAAACATGACGTGGTTGGGAACAATGATAAAATATTTGAATATTATTCCATAAAACGGATATTCCCTATGAAATTCATTTGCACACAAACAAATTAGTGGTGAATATTAACATGGAGGGAATAAGGAGACTTCAACTTCTTTAAGGGGGATACCGAAGGTATAGTTGTTCCCTTGATTTAAAAAAGGAAAACTCAATTTCAAGTGGCTTTCATACATGTACCTTATAACGAAAATTATACTTCATTATTTCGTACACTATTGTTTTTTTCGCCAAAGATCTTGATCTGATTTTGTCTGAAATAAAGCACTAATCAGTGACGTCATATGACGTAAGATTTTCGGCCTTGAACAGTTGATGGACAAGCATAGATATTTTCCGAAAGGGTACATGTAACTTTTTTGTATATTTACCAGTATAATACAATACCTGAAGCATTATTTATTTATTGACATATTTGTCAATTTATCCATGGAGATTATTGTGAGAAAAGTGATTCTAGTCTAATGAAGAGTTCAAGTTGGTTTATTTGTCAATTTAAAATAACTGGATTCACTTGAAGTTCAGCTCATATGTACCTAATATACAACGTATACCCATTTTTCTCGTATAATATCTACAAGTTCAACAAAACCACCAATGGGCCAGAAAAAATAGAATCAAAATTCACACAAAGCTTTGTTTGTCCCCCGATCCGCTGATAAAAACGACGAGTGTACAATGTTGTGATGCCAGGTATTGTTTTGACATTTGTACAACATAATAATGATATAAACTTTTCCAAATTGTTCCTGACGGGCATTTTCTTTTTTATCTCTCCTTATACCTAAATATTCAAGATGGAAAACTTTCGTGACTGATTAGACACAAAAGGTGACCTTCTTGCTAGGGTAGGTATAACACTACAAAATACGTTGGATTTGCTCAGTAAAAAAATGTCGTAACGACATGAGTGCTCAAGATACACGATGTTGAAAAAAAATTATTCTACACATTTTTCACAATTATGTCGAAATTACTGGCAACATTGAAATGGAATTTTGTATGGATATGTTGTAGAAGCTGACATATCGCATGAGTTTGTTCTCATATCTGACTCTCATAAAGGGCGCTAGTTACATGGTTCGTACCGAGTAATTTTGAACATAACTTTTTTGAGGTTCGATTTTTCAGACCGAATTTCGTGTGAACTTGAACATCATTACACTCAACACTAAAAAGGTATAAAATTCAATAGGTATATTTTGATTCAAAATAATGGAGTGATAGCTGATGCTGGTATAAAATAGGTATTATTTTAGCTGGCGGGCGTCACTTGCTCCTAAAAAAATTTGTTTCGAAAGTGAAGTGCTATAATTGTGCTGAAATATTCCATCCAGCATGTCTCAAGCAATCCGGGGACCAAAAAAAATGCAGAATGCAAGCATGAAGCTGCAAATGATGAGAGTTTTGATGAAAAAACCTACCTTATAGAAGAAAAGAAACTACTCAGACAAACAATATAGGATAAAAATGTAATAATCGCCGACAAAGAACAACTAATCTATTTGTTGCATGAAAAAATCGCAACTCTAGAATCGAGTATAATGCCAACTAAATCCTCACATGTGGAAAAAAACTAAATTAATTGCAGATTAAGAAACTAAAGGTATGACCTCTAAAAAAAATCGAGAATACAAAAAACCAACAAACCCCCTTGTCATCAAGATTGACAACTTTGAATGAAGGACATTTCAGATCTCAGAGTGTCACAATAAAAGTGAACCAGGCAGCTGCCGAAATACAGAAAATCCAGACTCTAAAAATTTGCTAACGACTTGATACATTTGAGTGATGATATCAATAAAAACTAAATTAATCAATCCATCACACACATAAAAAATGTCAAACAAGATGAAGATCCTGACAATTGTTTCACTGTTGTAAGGAGGCACGGAAATGACAATTTTCAGGGCAATGATAAAACTTATAAAAAGATTTGGCTATTCGTTTCAAGGGTCCCAGATAAATTAACAACAGAGGATGTAGAAAAATTCATAAGAGAACGTACAAGTACAGATGACGTTTATGTGAAGAAGCTGTTGATACATGCTGCCAAAATTGATAGTCAGGCATTTATGGTAGGGGACAAACTGGAACTGCAAAATCAAGTCTATAAGCCGAATTTCTGGCCGAAAAACATATACTTCAGTCGCTTCAACTTCTGGCAGGGCCAACAGTTTCTTGACCAACAACTCCAAAGAACAGAGGCGGCTAAATTTCAAATGTCGGTGCAAGCCTCGAGACATCAAGAGAACAGTGGTTTACAGATACTTACTTGTAGCTTCCTGAAGCAAACTATATACATAAAATAACGGTCACCACTATACGACAAAATGCTCAATGGATCAGCAATGGCCAAGTGAAAGATGCAGAACTCCTAGTTATAATGCATCTCAATATTCAAGGCTTGGCTCCAAGGAAAATTCATCAACTGGACTTTTTTCCGAACCAACAGTCACCAGATATTATAATATGCCTCTCGGAACACTGGCTCAACCCCAAAATAGAAAGTCTAAATCTTCTTAAGTACAGTCTGAGGAATAGTTACTGCAGAAAAGTGAACAAACATGGTGGTGTATGTATTCTATCAAAAGAACATCTCTCCCTGAAACCTGTCACATTCAACAAAAGTATGGTGAAAAGTTTCGAGGTAACAATTGCTGTTCTAGAAATTCCGAATAAAAAAGTAGATTGTACATTATCACAGTTTACATGATCCCAAACAGATCTTAATATATTTTTTCTACTCACATAACTAAAATGGCATTTAGCGTACGGATATGTACCACGCTAAATGATCGATTAATCACGGGTTGTCGATCTGTGATTTATTCAAAATATTAAACACGTTACCATGGCAACACGATTTCTTAAACACATTACCATGGCAACGCAGTTCATTAAACATAGCTTCAGTAATTTGAGACATGTCTGGCATGTCAATATTCGTTTGTATCGGAATTCTTCATTAAAAATATATGCGAAAAGTAGACGAGAGTGAAATCGAAGAGAATGTTCAGGTACTTGCATATCTCCAAGAAGTGTAAAAATGAAGCATTCATCTTTG